GAAGGAGAAGGAGGAGAAGGAGAAGGAGAAGGAGAAGGAGAAGGAGAAGAAGGAGAAGGAGGAGGAGAAGGAGGAGAAGGAGGAGGAGGAGGAGGAGGAGAAGGAGATATGGGTATGGTAGGAGAAGGAGAAGGAGAAGGAGAAGGAGAAGGAGAAGGAGGAGAGATATGGGAAGGGGAAGGAGGAGGAGGAGCGGTATGGGTATGGTAGGAGAAGGAGGAGGGGGAGGGGGAGATACTCACAATAGTAGTTTTCCCAGAGGCTGGAGGGCCAAGTAAAAAGATCCTTGGAGCTATGGATTAAAGAAAAACATGAGATTGTCAAGCTTCACAGTTCTTACGGGGCTGGGTCATTTCCTAATTATGCTGCACATTATGAGAGGTTGCCTCCTTCATGTTCAGTTTTGTGCGTCTGAGGGGTGTTTGTGACCTTATTCATTCCTCAATGTGGACCTCCAATTTAGAGGGAGGAGGGGCTTCACCATGGAGGCCCTCCATATGTTTTGGACTTCAGCTCCCATGAAGCCTTGCTACTATGGCCAGGGGCAAGAGAAGATGGCAGTAAAAGTATTCTTTAGGTGGCCTGTTCCAATTTTACCTTTGATGCACTGGTGCTGAAGAGCACTTTTTTTTTTTTGAACAAGAGCATCTAGCTTCATACCCCCTGCTCACCCCAGGGTGCTAGGAAGTCCAAAGGCAGCTTTTTTAAAAAAAAGAAACGAAAAGAAATGAAGCATGGAAGCCTTTCTGGTCTTCAGTAACGAGCCGAGATTTCGTCATAGAACGTATAGCTTGTGCGTTGGGAAGCAAGGGTCCCCAAACACCCAGTCTGGCTGGACCCTTGTTTACTTCACCATGGTCGATCACGCAAGCCACAATGGGCTAGGTTTGCACAGCCATGCTCGATCTTGAACAATTTGCCAACCACAATGTCTACAGGCACCCAACACCCTACATGGAAGCCAACCCAACAAGGTGTTGGTTCAGCGCACAGCACTTTCCTACTTCCGTGCAGCCGGCAAGAATTTTTGCTAGTCGGGAGAGCAAATGGAGGTGTTTCTCTTTCCTCTCACGTCTTGGGGTGGTGATTCGCTACCTCCCGGGCAGAGCTAGAAACGGAAGAACCGCTGCACATTTTCCAGGTTCTTCTGGAGCAGGCAGAAAAACTTTGCTCTTGGCCACTGGAGGAAAGCGGGTTATTCTGCATTTCTCCTCAGTTCTTTCTGCCCTTGTTCAACATTCATATCCAATTCTCCCTGATCTTGTTTCCTTTGTGTGTTTGTGTGTGCGGGAGGATGTTGTCTACAACCGACCTTTTGGTTCAGAGCGCAATTAGAAGCAAGAGGAAGAGAAACATCCTCATGTTTCTGCTCCCTCTGTCCTTCATGCCTCTGAATTTATGTTTCCTTTCTGATGGGGAGGAATCTTCGGCCTTCTCTCTTGAGCATCATTGCTAATATGGGGATTAAAATGTTTTTAAGAAGGCCGGAGACATTGAAGCAGTGGCCCTCCAGCCAAGATGGTAGGAAACATCTCAATTAAGAAAGAAATGGAATTTAACCAGACTTTGGGGAGGGGAGAAACATTACTAAGGTGGAATCAGAGTGCCATTTAAAGACAGCAAATTATTTTTGGGGGGTGGACAGGGAATCCACTTTCTTTTCTCCCCCATGCAGGGCTGGGTTCACATAACACAGCTACAATGGAGTTGGGTACTTCGTAGTTGTGGAAACCTAGCCATGGGTTTCCCATGTTGTAGAATTCGAGTAACCTGGTTAAGCCCTAATGGGGCTTGGTGTGTGACACAACCAAAGTGGGGTAGCTCTTCCAGAGGGCTTTAAAATTAACGAACGAATAGAGCCACATTCAAACTGCTCATGGACGTGATACTGTTTTTTTTAAATGAAGGATAGGATTTTTTTTAATGGCTTTACTGTTTTCGTTTATATCGTTGCTTTAAGGTTTTTTTTTTCCTGCAAACAGCCGAGAGGCAAAAGACTAGTGGCTTAAAAATAAAAAATAAAATAAAATAAATAATAAAATAATAAAATAATAAAATAAAACCAAACCCTGCTGTCTGATCTTGCCAGATAGCTAAGAAAGAGGAACGATTGTGGGCATTTTTATTCCCCCAAAAGCTTTGCAAGCATTTTCAGCACAGAGCTGGGCAATGACAACTTTTAAATCAAGCTCGAATCCCCAGATTACAAATTCATCTTAACAAAGCTCTTTTGACCTCAGAGGTTTAAGGAAATGTTCTTTCGCTTATTGGTTCTGAAAAGTGCAACAGAAAGAGTTCACAATGTCGGGGAAAGAATACCTTAAAAGAGTACATTAAGCTGTTTCATCGCCTAATTTCTTTCAAACTCTAATATGATTAAAACGTACAGCCTTTTTCTCTCCCTTTTTTCTCTTCCCCCTTCTTTTTTTTCCCTTCTCCTTCTCCTTCTTTTTCTTCTTCTTCTTCTTTTTTTTTTTTTTAGAATTTTAACACCTTGAAACTTCAGCCTGGTAATGAGGAATTATTTATAAACAGAGTCATCGAAATGTGCTTTGGTGCCAACACTAATCAACTTCTTCAATCCGCTTCAAAGCAAACTAAAAAAAAAAAAAAATTAAAAAGAAGCTTTCTAGCTACAGATCCTTTTGAGGTTTAAGTAGGAGCATGATTTAAAATTCAGACGAAAACCCCGAGGTGCTGAAGCTTTAATACACAGCTTTCTTGGACAAACGTTTGATAAAAAAACGAAACGTATCATTATACACACCATATCATGCTTTAATATTGCCCAGGGCTACCGTAAATGCTCACTTTGTACTAAATCTGGTTTTCCTTCTGCTTCGGAGCAGGCAGCAGACGTAGTAAATGCGTTGATTTACTCATTTGCACGCTGGTAAGAATCTTCCACAGTCCCTAAACATATGTCATGGATGGGGGGGACGGATAGTGTACTCTTGCAGGGCAACGTACATATGTTCTGCTTATCCCTCCCCAGCTGCAAACACCCAATTAATTCAAAACAGCCAGAATTCAGCAAAGAGTTAAGCAGACGGTGACCCACCGCTTTCAACACCCCGAAGCAGCCTGACTCATCCTGGATCACGGCACAGAGATGAGCTACCCAGAGAAGGTCTTATTCCAAAGACTAATTCTAGACCCGAATTAAAAAACGTCAGAAATGCGACTTCGTCAAGGGTTCCTGATTGATAGAGCGGAGATGTGGTTCAAAAAAACCCTCTTTTTTTCCCCCCGGTGGTTTAATCGTTTGATTGCTTTTACATTTTGGTTTGTTCTTTTTTGTGTGGGTTTTTTGTATTGCGTTTTTGGTTTTTAACTTGGTTAAGCCGCCCAGAGTCGCAGCAGTATGAAGGGCGGCGATACACACACACACACACGCGCGCACACAAAATAATAAAAAATAAATTTTCGGCCGTCCAACTGATCAGCAGAACTAGAATTTAGGGCGGCTGTATGTATGTACAGTGTGTGTGTGTGTGTGTGTGTGTGTGTGTGTGTGTGTAAAATAAAAAATAAACTTTCAGCCGTCCAACTGATCAGCAGAACTAGAATTCAGCTTCTCCTGAATCTGGGCCATTTCAGAAATTAAGACCTGGCTTTGTGAATGCTAAGATGCAGTAGTTGAAAAGCATATGCCTGTTTAAGGGCAGATCAGAATAATATTCTTGGTATCTCCGAAAAGAAAGCTGTTATGGGAAACAGTACAAAGAACTCACTTGCTCCTTTGCTCCTTATTCCTATCATGGAAGCTGGATAAACCAGGACAAAGTTTGGGCTTGTCCAAACCCTGACATAGCGTTATGGGCAAGTTAGAAAGTCTGGTTTGTTGTTGGGTTGTTCAGCAATCTAGAGTTTCTCAAACTGTAATTCTGGTCTATATGAGACAAGCCAAGCTAAATGCAGTCCTGGTTTATTCTCCGTTTCGGCAGAGGAGATGGAAAGAGGAATCATGCCTTTATTTTGTGCAACCAGCTCCTTGCTTGCATATGGAAAGTGAGTCCTGTGGGAAGTGCTGGGTGATTAAAAATAATTTTTTCAACTTGTCTGCCAACTGACTCTCAATGCTTCTGGGCGGCTCCCAACAAAGAAATTACAATAAAATCAATAAAAAATAAAGATAAAAGATGGTGAGCGCGATGAAGGGAGCGGTCTCCCTTTCCCTCGCTGAAGGCCTGGGTGAGGAACCAGATCTTCACGGTTCTTCTGAATGACAGCAGAAAGGGGGCCATCTGGATCTTGGGGGGAACCTTTTTCCAGATTCCAGCCAATTGTGATGAAACAAGCATGGCTTAGCTGATATGTGAATCAAGACATCCCCAAGGGTTGGAGGATGAGAAGAGGACACCGACAAAAATTAATAAAATTAATAAAATTTTCATGTTAGCCATCAGCGGACCTCTCCATTTCCATAAACATATCTAGTCCTCTTTTAAAGCTATATCTTGCAGGGATCACACTGCATCTTATGGCAATGAACTCCATAAATTAATCATATGGTGTCTGAAGAAATACTGTATCCTCTCTCCACAAATACAAATTTAATTTTTTAAAAATTCATGGAAAGGAGAAATTCTGCATACACTTCATCAGTGGTGATTAGTCCTGATAAAGCTACAGGTTGGTTTTCTCAATGATTTCCCCCCTGCTTTTAAATCTTCACCAGCTCTATCCTTGTCAATGAATTTAGATATAAATTATTATTGCTTTTGTGAAGTCTGGGGGAGTGGGGGGTATCTCCCTGTTCTACAGCATTACTTTAGAATTTATTACTAATTAAAATCATTTCTGACTCCACGACTGGAATAGATACTTCTTTCTTTTCTTTCTGGCTTCCACATCTCTGCTTGAAATCTTCTCTGGGGTGAAAACTGACTTGCAAGCAGAGATCATGAAAATTCATAGCTTTACTGATGACTTTAATAAAGGGAAGGGTTTTTTCCCCCTTCTTCCAAAAGAGTCAGCACCTCCTCCAAGATCAAGAAAAAAAATGCTATTAAGCCAGACTTACAGAAATTCCTCATCTGCTATTCTTCCTTCCTCATCAGCTCTTAATTTTTATTTGATGTTGATGCCTTCAATTATTTAACAAGGTTGTTCTAAACCAGCTTTTTTCAAACCTGGCAACGTTAAGATGTGTGAACTTCAACTCCCAGAATTCCCCCACCAGCATGCTGGCTAGGGAATTCTGGGAGTTGAAGTCCGAGCATCTTAAAGCATGCTGGATGGGGAATTCTGGGAGTTGAAGTCCACACATCTGAAAGAATCGTACAGGTTTAGCAGCACGCGTATTTAAATGATTATTCCTATTATAACTGAACAAGTGGCACTCCGTAGAACAAACTCATTTCAAATATGGCTAGCCACCTGACCGCAATCCAACAATCTACTCACCATCGCAATTGCTGAATTTTAACTGCCTTATCAAGAAGTCTAGTGGGTTCTCTGGCCGGTGGATCAACAAACCTCCCAGCAAATCCTACAAATGAATCAATGAATTAAGTAAAAAGGAAGCAATTCCCAGTCCCCAACTCCAAAGTTTTTCACAGATCAAAAGCTCTGTAAAGCCACAATTAACAAACAAAGCCCTCCCATGAAAAGTTGATGAACAAAAGCATTTATGAGCCCCTCTTTTTAGAAACTGGTGCAATGCCAATTAGAACATCTAGAAAATAAATGATTGATTGATTGATTAATTAATTAAATGTTTACACCATCCAACTCTGGGTGACTGTTGTATCAATTTGGGAATGAAGTTTGCTTTTCCTCCATTAAATGACATCAACTAATGAAGATTTAATCTAGAGCAGCGTTGCTTAAACTTTTTGCTCCCAGGACCCCTTCCCTCTTTTAAAAATTATGGAGGAACCCAAAAGAGCTTTTGTTTGTATGGGCTATATTTATCAATATTTACCATATTAAAAATTAAAACTGATATATTCATAGAAGCTTTATTTATTGAATCATGTAAAGATAGCCATAGTAAACCCATTAGATAGGACCATAAGTAAAATATTTTTCATGAAAAAAACCTGTAATTTTTTTAATGGATAAAAAATGAGAAGAGTGACATGGTTTTAAATTTTTGCAAGCATCTTCAAAATCTGGGAAATCATTTTGATTTCACAGGCCCTTGAGAGGGTCTTGGGGAACTCCCAAGGAACCTCAGACCACATTTTAAGATACACTGACCTAGAGGAACTGAGATCAAACCCCAGGTCACCATGGATGTTCATTCATTTGCTCTCAGCCCACCTAACAAAATAGCTGTGAGAAACAGACGAGGCAGAAGTGTGTCTGCTGCCATGAATAAATGAATGAATGAATGAATGAAAAAAATTCTCTTTCTGGCCTCATCTTGAATATGTCGCCGCTGGAGATCTCTGCTAGGAAGAGGGTGAAACATATGAAATAGGAAGTGACCATTCCCAAAAAAAATAGGGCCACATTACTTCGCTGATTTTACATTTCCAACTGCCTGCCTTGTCTCATTACTTTAATTAGCATCCATCCACCAGCCTTTTATTCTGCGTTGGTCAGAACACGGTTATAATACTGCACCTGGTTCTGACTGCACAGTTTAGAACAAATAAACTAGACTGTGTCCAGAGGAGAGCCACCGTGACGATAAGGTATCTGGAAGGACCACCTTATGAATAACCATATGGTTGGAGATGGTAGGTTTTTCGGGCTGGAGAAAACTGGAGGAAACCTGATGTTTTGAGGATCCGGAGGGCTGTCCACAGAGAAGTTAAGGCAGATTTGTTCTGAGATGCTCCAAAAAGACAGTCTATGTCAAAATGGGTTTAAAATACAAGGAAATAGATTTCAACTGGGCATCATGAAAAATGTTCTAAGCATAAGAACTGTTCAACAAGCAATAAAAGAAATGACCTTAGGAGGTGGTGGATCTATAACTGGTAGGTTCATACATTAAACCAGGTTGGACCCCCAACCTATCACATTATGGCCTAGTATGCTAGGTGAATCAGCCATACACCTGCTTTTTGGTTTTTGTTACGTGTCCTGCTATTTTCTTATTTATTGCTCTACTGACGTTTTAATTGCATTGCCTTGGTGAGATGAATGGCAATATAAAACGAATACAATAAACAAATTACCATTAGGGTATAGGTAAGCCTCTGGGGACAATTAAGATGGCAGAGATTTTACAGAGGGGAAAAAACACCAAATGTGATAGGTTCCGGTGTGCGACGTCTGCAGGAAAACTGCCAAGTTCGGAGAACGCCAAGAACCCAACTGTTCAACCTGGAGGTGCGTAGATTTTCTACAACAGGAATATGTTCTACAGCTTGGGAACAGATCTCGAATCGGAAGAAAAGCGTGTCCATTTTGGCCAGGAATTAGGGGACAAACACTTGGCTTTTCTCACCATCTACGGCTGCATATATTTGATTTATATGCAATAGCTCTTACTTGCCACAAGAGGCTACTGTGACCTTTCCCGAATCAAGTTAAATTCAGTACAGTTCTCCTGATTTTCTTGTCGCTTGGATTCCACTTCCTGGAGAACAGAGTCATAGAATATTTATCTGCATTATAATCACTTGGTTACGGTCAATCTTTTTTTGTGTGGTTTTTGCAGGTTAGCAAGCAACCCATTGGCTTCACTTAAGATCCAAGGGGTCGTGTAAATCCAGAAGGGAGAACTGCGAAGTGTGTTGTCTGAACAGTCTTACAGTTTGAAGCAAAACTTGAAGGTCCTGCCTTCCAACCAGCAAGGTTCCCAGCAAGACAAAATGATCATCCTTCAGTCCCCCAAACGAATCTCTGAATGTCCAGCTTTGCAAAAGGAAGCAATTCTCTCCTCGTCTGCAAGGCAAAATCTGTAGACGTGATCCTATCCGTTAATTTCCTGAGAAATGTGCTTGCTCTTCTCTGAATCTTCTTAACTAACTAATGATGAACATTTGCAGTTGTATTACTGACTTAGAGAGAAAAAGTTCCTGGTTTACTACATAGGGATCGCTAACCGTAAGAAGTAATTCAGATGCCTAGGATTTCAGCAGATCTGCAGTTGGGAAGTAACATATCTAACAACGACAGCAACAAAAAGTTGCAATTAGGAAGTCATGTATCTAACAGCAAAAACAACAACAAAAAGGGGAGTTCATGATCTTTCTAGCTCTTTCAATTATGACTTCTTCCCCTCACTTCCAAGTTGGCAAATACTTTGAAAAACTGCCAGATAATTTCTTTACTGGACTTTTATCAGTCAGCAAAAGAACCCAGAATTACTGTACTGGGAGGCGGCACTCGTATGATGGCTTTGTGGTGTGGCTCAGGGTCGTGATCCTGTTTCCGTCGTTTGACATCGTCTTGAGAGGAAAGCCGACAGGGAGGTTGTCGGGACAGCTCGAGGCGTATAAAAAGAAGCACCCTGATCCCCACATGGATCTAGGCCTGATACCTTATGGAAGGCAGGGCAGAAAGGAGAAATGCAGAGAAATTCCATTTCTCCTCTGGCTACTTGCAGCGTCACCCAGCCCTTGCTGGTGAGACAAAGCTTGTCTTCCTTCTTCTCGTTGTTGCATGCAAAAAGTCACAAGAAGGGAACCGATCTTGATCAGGGAGAGCCTGGAGTTGGAAGGACCGGTGGTCGGGACAGAAACTTTTGCCAGATTTTTTTTAGGGTGCCTGCGTTTGTTTCAAGCAGGAGCCAACTCCACCGTTTATTAAATGCAGCAATAAAAGAACTGGGCATGAATGCAAACCTCTTAGCCGCACATAAAGCAGTTTCCCACTTTTGCAAAAATTTCCCCACCCCTCTTCCTCTTAGGATTCTGAGGTTGTGAAATGTGGGCCATCCAGCTGCAATAAAATCAACGGGGGGAAAATGCATTCCTCCGCACCCAGCCATGCTTTTACAATTGGAACCCTACAGAAATCATGCATTTTTTTCAACCTGGTGCCCCCCCCCGATTTCAAGCCCCAAAATCCTCAGCCTGCCTACGAAAGACGCCCCCCAGACTGCTGCCTCCCAAATTCCCACGGCCCCTTATCCCCAGCCCGCATGGGTACTCGAGTCCAGCAAATTTGCAAAAGATAGAGCAGAGGTCGCGCGCTCCGCCAGGGATTGGCCTAGAGCATGCTGGGAAATGTAGTTTTCCAAGCCAGCCAGCTCGCCGCGGTGGCTGCCGGGAGTTCTCACCCGTTCCCCCGTCCTGCCCAGAAGAAGTTAGTGGTTCTACGCGCCGCGAAGGGAGGCGGCCGTTCTTCGCTCACGAGACAGCGAGGCGTCGCTTCCCCTCACCTGCATCATGTCGAAAAGACGGTGCTTTTCCGCGTAGAGCCCCATCTGCGGAGGGACATAGAGAGGCCTCTTGGTGGCGTCCATGGCGCCCCTAGCAACCGCGCGTCGCTAAGCGACGACGTCAATGGAAGGAGACGAACTTCGCCGCGGTCCCGAGCCCGCGTGGCGTCATCAAATAGCGACAGAGCTTCCACCGCCGCTTGCTGTTTTAAAGAGACGTCGCCTGCGCTGCGTCAATGGGAGCGGCCGCTAGAGGGCGGCCAAGAGACAGAAAGCGCTTTGCTGCCCCACGTGGCCGCCCCGGCTTCGAG